AGAGTTCATAGGACGTGTCATATTAAAGATTTGTTTTTATTCAACCGTAGATGCATATGAGTCTCATGTTATATGTTTGTTCCTATCATGCAGTACCTAGACGGTTATCTTGAGCTAAACTCTTCTTATTTTTTTCGTGATTAGATGTGAAAAGCGAGATTGTTTACAATGCAAGCGAGGGGCTTATGCAGAAGCTTGCTATGGAGGCATTTGAAGTTGCCATGGTGAGTCTAATAAGGGTTGTACTTGGCGCAAGCGTAACTTAATGCCCTTTCAATCATGTGTGGAACATTAGCCATGTCTAATTTTACATGTCAACTGTTGATGATCTAATTTGGGGCATCCAAAATTGCACATAAAATTGCACTTAAACAACTTTTGGCCATTGCAATTTCTCAAGTAAAGTTGGCATGATGAGTAGTCATTTGCAGCATCAAATAAATGAGTTCCATTATTTGCCTACACTCTTGAATAAGCGTAATCTAGTCGAATTAATTGGATAATGCCGAAATAGCATCATAACAGTAATAATGGATACCCCAATGCAGCTTGAACTGTTTTTATCGGCAAATGTTGACTTGCCAAACTGTCTGAGAACATAAAATGTGTGGTTACCACATACTATGAATCTGAGCTATCGATTAATGCCTGATTTTTGTATTCATATTCTGGTAATATAAACATCTGACAATACAGATTTGTCAAGATAACGTATTTACTGTTATTCTATAGGTAAATAATGTGGACAATTATGAGAACCAACTGTAAGTTATTTTCTTGCATTTGGAATTTCTCACATCCAAAATTTTAAACAATATTTATGGAAGTAGGTAAGGACTAGTGCCCGGATTGTGGAAGGGGATCCTGGTAAGGTAATTTGCAAGGAAGCAGAACGAGTAAAGCCAGCAGCTGTGATCCTAGGTACCAGAGGCAGAGGATTCATTCAAAGGTACCTTCCTCTCTCTCTCTCTCTCTCTCTCTCTCTCTCTCTCTCTCTCTCTCTCTCTCTCTCTCTCTCTCTCTCTCTCTCTCTCTCACACACACACACACACACACACACACACACACATAATTCATTTACTCACTTTATTGCTGGGATTTCTTCAGTGTACTACAAGGAAGTGTGAGTGAGTATTGCATGCGCAACTGTAAATCAGCTCCGGTTGTAATCGTTCCAGGAAAAGGTATTATTTTCCATCTTATATGTGAATGGAACCAGCTTAAAGTCGATTGCACATAACTTTCTTTTGAAACATAAATATTTGTATCTTGAATTGGCAGAAGCTGGAGATGAGTCGATGATCTAGCTAGCGGAGCTCATGGTATGTATAGAACAGTTTAGCCCTTGATTACTGCTGTGCAATTTCTTTTAGTACCTTGCTGGATTATCTGGACGTAGTAGTTGGAACTTGGTATGGTTGTAAGACTAAGAATCAATTGGCCAAGTCCTACCGTAAATGGTTATTCGGATGAAATGGTCAAAATTTAGAAAAAGATATGTGGGCTGAAAAGTATATTTCATTCATACATGAATAAGAATATATACAATTACATTCTTTGCACAACAACGTATTAGCCCTACAAGTTAGGAATACAACTACAATTAGGATTACAATCCCCCTCAAGTTGTTTCTACTTGTCTAACACTCCCCCTCAACTTGGAGAGTGGATGTCAAGAACTCCCAACTCGTGTAACATAGTCGAAAACTTTTCCTTCCCGAGAGGCTTGGTGAACAAATCCGCCAATTGGTGTGCCGTACCAACATACTTGGTTTCTATAGTGCCATCTGCAATCTTATATCGTATAAAGTGACAATCCATCTCAATGTGACGAGTTTGCTCATGAAAAACAGGATTAGTGGCTATATGTAACGCTGCTTGATTATCACAAAATAAAACGGAAGGACCATCTAAAGGAATGTTCAAATCCTTCAACAAAAACTGAAGCCAAATTAACTCATAAGCACCTGCCATAGTTGATAGGAGCATATTTATGCGACTTAGTTAGCTTGGTCTCGTGCGTTTTCGTAGTTAGTTTGTGTTTATTATAGTGATTTAAGCTATTTTCGTGTGTGTGTTTGTCTGTCACAAAACACATTGTTTTTAGAAACCCTACAAAAGTGGCGCCTATTCCCTTCTAGAGGGCTTTTGCCTTGCCTTGCAAGCCATTCCCTTTCCCTCCAATGTGTGCCGCACCCTTCCTCATCCAATTCCTATTGGATTCTGATTTAGTTGGCCTTTTTCCTTGTGGATTTGGGTTATGCAAATCCTTTTCAGAAATTAATTGGGCCAAACCTTGTTCTTAGTGGATTTAAACACCTTTGCCGCACCCTAGGGCCCTAATTCTCTTAATGTGCTAATTCATAACCCTAATCTGATTCACCCTAGGGTTTGGCCGAACCTATATATACATATTTTCAGCCACAATTTCGTCCACCACCCTTCTACCATTCAGAAACATATCTTGCCGCACCCTATACACCCTTCTACAACCTGTGCCGCAACTTTGGAGAAGAAGATACCCTTGTCGTGCCTTCCATTGATGAAGGAGGACCTTGTGCACAAGCCACCTGCATCCTTGGTAGTTCTAAGAGTTCTTTCTTCCCTCGTTTTAATTGCTTTTTAATTGCTGTGAACATGTGAAATATAAATTCCACGTTGGGATCAAGAAACCTCAATACCCAAAAAATATTTTAAATCACCAAGGTCTTTTATCCGAAAATGATCACGGAGAATAGAGTTCAAAGAATCAATGGCACTAATGTTGTTGCCTGTAATCACAATATCATCCACATAAATGAGTAAGGCTGTGAAAGAAGTACCGAACTTTCTGGTGAATAGTGAATTGTCAGCTTTGGATTGTTGAAAACCAGTGAAAAGAATGGCACTAGTGAATTTGGCAAACCATTGGCGAGAAGCCTGCTTGAGACCATTAAGGGACTTGTGAAGGCAACACACAAGATTCTCCCCTTATCGCCGAAGACCAGGATGAGGAGACATATAAATTTCCTTATGCAAGTCACCATGCAAAAAAGCATTATTAACATGGAGCTGATGAAGAGACCAAGACTCACTAGTGGCAAGAGAAAGAAGACAACGCATCGTAATCATCTTAGCAGTAGGAGAAAAAATGTCATGATAATCAATACCTTCAGCCTGTGTGTAACCTTTAGCAACTAAGCGAGCTTTATAAGTCTCAATGGAACCATCATAATTATACTTCAGTTTGTACACCTACTTATAATCAATGGGAACTTTGCCAGGGGGCAAGGTAGTTAAAGTCCAAGTACCATTGGCATGTAAAGCTTGAAGCTTCTCATTCATGGCACGACGCCAATTAGGGTCATTGGCAACCTTGGTAAAGGATGATGGCTCCACATTCCTACTAATAGAGTAAATATATGAAAGATGTTTGGGAGAGTAACGGTGGTAAGAAATAAAATTACAAGGTGGATATCGCGTACCTTTTGAAGAATCGAGTTGCGAAGTTGAGGATTGGTGTGGTGGCAGAATCACCTGCAAGCAAATGTAGTCTTTTAAATAGGATTGGGGTTTATGGGTACGGGAAGAAGTTCGTTGGGTATGGGGAATGTCAGGATGAGGTGTGGCTGGGAGATGAGGGGGTCCGTGGGTAGTTGGGTGGAATCTGAGGTAGTATCGTTGGAAGGAGTAAGTGGGGTTGGGAGTGTAGTGGTGGGAGGGTGGAAAGGTGAGGTGGCAGCATTGGAAGGGGGCATGAAAGTGGAGCTGGGTGAGGTGGCAGTATGGGAAGGTGGCGTGGTGTCAAGAGATGGTGGATAGGAAAGGTCCAGAGGAGAGGGAAGAGACAGTGTAGGCATGGGGGATGGGGTAGGGGTGGGGTTAACGGCAAAAGAGAAGGAATCTTCATGAAAGATTACATCCTTATTGGTCAGAGTGCGGTGATTGTATAGGTCGTATAGTTTGTATGCTTTCTGTCCATTAGGGTAACCAAGGAAGATGCGATAATGGGCTTGAGGGGAAAATTTAGTTTTGTGAATGACAGTGGTGGCATAGGCTAGACAACCAAAGACATGGAAATGGTCATAGGTTAGGGTTTTGTTATGAAGAACCTCAAAAGGAGATTTATTATGGAGAAGAGAGGGTTTATTAGATAAGCAACTGTAAGAACACATTCACCCCAAAATTTTAGAGGAACATATGATTGGAAACAAAAGGCGCGAGCAGTCTCAAAGAGGTGCCTATGTTTTCATTCAACAACGCCATTTTGTTAAGGGGTATAAACACAAGAAGTTTGAAAAAAGGACCCCATTGTCTGAGAACAAATTACGAAGAGAAAAAAATTCACCTCCATTATCAGTATGAATGCATTAGATTTTAGTATGGAATTGGGTATTGACATAAGCAAAAAAAATCCTTGATTAATTGTTGAGTATCCAATTTATGTTTCATGAGAAAGACCCACGTAAAGTGAGCAAAATCATCCACAATGGTTAAAAAATAATGAGCTACAAAAAGGGAAGATTGACAATTCGAGCCTAAAATATCACAATGAATTAAAGCAAAAGGAAAAGTCGTTGAAATTGAACTTTGTTGATGCACAAAATCAGCAAGGACTTTGGTACAACAGAAAGTGTTAAGTTTGTGACCTTCGCTAGATTGCTCCAGTCACTAGTGTGGATAAGTAAGTAAATGGATAGGGACAGAGAAGCAAACACAAGATGTACGTGGTTCACCCAGATTGGCTACGTCCACGGAGTAGAGGAGTTCTCATTAATTGTGAAGGGTTTATACAAGTACATAGGTTTAAGCTCTCATTTAGTGAGTACTAATGAATGATTTAGTACAAATGACATTAGGAAATATTGTGAGAGAATGATCTCTATTTATAGAAGAGAGTTTCTAGTTTCATTTTGACATTGACACGTGTCGTGTTGTGATTGGCTTCTGATGTCAACACATGTTGCGCTATGATTGGCTTCTGATGTCGACATGTGTCGCGCTGTGATTGGCCTCCTGGTTGGAGGGAAACTCTTCTAGGTCCTTGATAGTATAACGTTGACCGGTGCTCAGTAGTTTCGGGATTGGTCAAGTACGGTATAAACAGTGCTTCCTTATGTTCCCGAGTGAGAGAAGCTCCTCGATTGGGGACTTGCAAGATCCAAGCTATTGAGTAATCACGAAACTTCTACGTACCGAAGTGTGGTATCATTTTCACTTACCTTATCTGTCTCATATGTAGATGTGGCATCTTCTCTGGAAGTACTTTTCCTCCATCCAGGGGTGGTATCTTTAACCGATAAAGATGAACAAGGTAATGTATCAATTTCACTTGAAGCTTACTTGTAGTTTCAGACTTGGTCACGTGCGATACAAACCCTATAGTAGGAGTCTCCCAAGTCGCCAAGCTAGGAGATTTGCCGAAGGAGGTAACAGACAAGGTAAGCAATCAGACTTCCAAGCAAGCAACCTGGATCGGAGGTTCAACTTCGGCTTCTAGTTGATTGTTTTCCTTCTCCTTGTGTCGTAAACAGCAACAAGGATAAGGAGAAGCAAATGGAGAAGAGATGGTATGAGATACTTTTGCTTTTGAAGAAGAAACTTTCCACATGCTTATTCTTGAACTGGGCTGGAGGATTTTCTGGTTTCCTCCAGAGTATAAGACCGACTCAAGAATTTAAGGGTCAAAACAAGTCCATCAAATCTAGAGTACGTTTGACCCTGATGATATGAGATACTTTTGCTATTGACAAAGTAGTGGATGTATCGGCACGTGTTCTGTTACGCTTGTCTCCACATGCTTCCTTATATCCTTCTCACTCGCTCTATCTATTCCTCAGGCAGATGTGGTATTTTCACTGGAAGCATAAGATGTTGAAGATGAGTATTCGAGAGCAATGCCAGGTAAGTAATCAGGCAAGGGGTTCCAGGCAGTCAGTTCTTGATTAGAAGTTTGATTCCAAGTGCTGACTGATTGCTCTCTTTATCCTTGTCTTGCAAGTAAGAACAAGGCCAAAGGAAAAGATAGGGAAAAAGCATGATATGGCATACTCTTGCTTTTAACCCTGATAATATAAGATACTCTTGCTCTGGTGTGGCTTGTTTGCAGAGGTATTATCAGGAGGAAAAGAAGCTGAGTATTTCGAGAGACTCTGCTGAGAGTGCCCTCTCGGATGTGAAGAAAAGTTAAGCAATTTTTTTATTTGCAGGTCTGCCTAGCTGTGGAGGATGGAGGTCGACATATATAGGTTTACCCTTCTTGGTCATAGCAATGTAGTGGGAGCTGTAAGCTTCACGTGTTTTAACTTTGTTAGAGCACTTTGAAAAAGTGGTATGTGGCATCTGGAAAGCTGATGTTGTGTGTGAAGATTGCTGACAAGCTTTATTCAAAGAAATCTAGCTCTCGAAGTTCGGAGAGCGGTGCCTCTTCGATTTTTGAACAAGCAATCTTGTCGGGGATCTGGCTTTCGAGATTCAGAGAACGGTGTCTCTTCAATTTTTGAGAAAGCAATCATGTTAGGAGTCTGACTCTTGAGATTCGGAGAGCAGTGT